TTCTTTTCCTAAATAAATGTTAGTGACACAATTGAGTGTTAAGTTTATGTACATTGGTCTTTAGCAGAATGCTTGTAAAGTCAGCCATTTTAGCTCTTTCTTATCGTTAAATTGCTGGTTAAAGTTTTTTGATTTTAAAACAAGGAATCCAGCATTTTCATCATTCACTTTTTTAATAATCTTCTTGTAATGATGGATTTCAACACGATTTGTGAAATTTTGGTAAATTTTGAAGCACAAGAGTCCTTCATTTTTGGTGATGACAACATCATTTAAAGTTTTTCATATTTGCATGTGTATCTATATGGACTAGTTAAAACTTTCTCTAGAGTTATTCAGAAAATCTTTGGATTTTTTCCATCAAGGGCTGAATTTCGGTTTTGAATTTTTAAAAATTTTTTTTAAAAATGAAAGTCGGAGATAGTTGTTTTTTTGCAGTATTTAATTTTTAGTCCTTTGGAATATTCTAAATACGAAATTCAGAAGAATAGCCAATTTTCGCATTACCAAAATACTCCAATATCAAAAATGAAGTTGGGAAGTAAACACTATCAACTTTGTAAAATTCTTCAAAATATCTCATTTAGATTTAATTAATTAAATCGAAATGAATCAACCAACCATTATCCTGCATGCTAATCGCTATGGATAATCATCACACGAATTATACCTTGTCGTAAAACTGCAATAATGACTCACGTGAGTTACATGTAGTCCGTCAAGTTTTGAACAGTAACATTCTTGTACCAGGCGTTGATCGATCACTGATCACCTAATTAATTTTAATGTTTCATTTTTTCTTTCAATGACTAACATTTGCTTATGCTATCTGTCAGATAACAATAGATGAGCGATTACAGGGTCCAGACTGACTAAAGACAAATTTCCGAATTGTTTCGAAATGTGGAACTGTGAATATCCACAGTCTTGTCTTATTCGATCCGTAGTACATGGATCCAACCTGTCTCTGTCTGAGTATCCAATAGAACTAGTTTTCATTTCGAAAATTTCAATATTTCCTAAAAATTGCTTTTCTCTGCAGAATATTACTGTCATGGCCAGCAATCAGTGTGCAATTGTCTGTTGTAACCATCTTTCTATAGGAAAATATAAATTCTTTCGAAATTTTCACTCGGTTTTCGATGAATTACAACAATAGTCAGAATGAAATGAGATGGAAAGAGCCATTTATACAACAAAGACTCTGTCATATCTCAAAATGATTTAGTCAGCTTTTTGCTTTAATTCAATATTCCTTTTCACAATGAGGAACTTTTCACAATCATCGATCATGATATTATGGGTAAAAGAAATCAATATCCAACAATATAATACATATGAAATGATTCCGGAACACCAATGTTCTCATTACAAAAAATAACCGATCAAGTAAACGAACTTGCTAAGCTGTATTTTTTTCAACTTAAGGGTTTTGAGATTTCAGTGATTAAACTTCTGTACCACTGATTCATACGTGACCTCTTTTTATACTTTCATTACAGTTACTTTTGCCAACGTAACAACTTGTTGCGTTTTTCTCCTTTATTTATAAGTTTTTCCTTTTTTAATTGTAAGCAGAAAAGTTTCTTAATACTGCAGCTTGGAGTTATTGTAGGCCAAGTAGCTTATGATTAAGCAGAACTGAGTTAATAAATTAAAGTCAATTTTTTACAAGGTTCAGTAAAACGGAGATAGTCTAGTATCCGTGGTCATTCAAGGAGACGCAACAACACGTAACTTTGATACTTTATTCATTACTAATTGGCATTGTAACAAATATTACGAAATAATAATTATAAAAGTGTAGTTAACATGATGCGCAAAGTCACGATTGGCTTAGAAGCTTTATAAAATTCTTGGTGAGATTGAAATGTAAAAATTTGCAACAAAATATAGCTAAGATGCTTAATCAAGGCTCATTTCTTTTGCACTTTTCTGCAAATTTTAGTGACCAGTGAGGTTACACCATTGTAAAGCACATCAAGGAGTAATATACCCTTTAATTGGGGTTGCATGTCTCCTCACCTCGAAATATCGTTTAACCGTTAAATCGTATCGGTAAATCTGTCTGATTTCAGAATCCTTAATTCCATCCACGCAAATTTAATTTGTTTCTTTATCGTTTGGCCAAAAAAGTCAAGATATCACCTAGTATTCCAATTGCGATTCAGAAATCTTTTTGCATAAAGAGAAAATTTAAAGATAAAATGAATTAAAATTCTCATTTGTCACCTTGTTGCGCACTTTTCATAAAGGTTCTTTTTAGCATTCATTTTTGCCACGAAGTTTTTGAAGTCTTTGTACAAATCCACGTGATATTTCTTTTCTTTCCACCGCACAATTGACAATATAAGATTGAAACTAAATTTTGTAGGAATCCGATTAAAGTTTCCAATTTAAAATATCCAATGAGAAGAATTGTTCAAAGAGAGAACTTTTCCTTCTAACCTATCCTATCCCTTGACGAAGTTTTGCAAATAAGTTGTGACCTTGTTATGGTGGTACGAAATTATGGGCAAGCGAATGGCAAATTAATCAGAAAACTGGTGACATGTGAGGTATTCTCTTTTGAACGATTTTATTATTTATGCTGAAAGACACAAGAAAAAATTCTCACTCAGTTAGATGCGAATTTTTTTCAGAAGATCCCTTTTTAATTTTTCAAATTTAGATTTGTATGTTAAATTATCTCATAGGCCTTGTGCATCTTCACTAATTTCAACATATTTTCACATATTTCATTAAATTTAGACAAGTTACATTTTATTTAATACTAGCCATGATTCTTGAAGTAATCGTTTGCTGCCTCTTGAACGACGAAACAGGTATTTTTTTTCAGCAAAAATTTTGTCGTAACCCAAATCTTCCTTTAAAAAAAAAACGAAATCTTATGACGACAGCAAACTGATATGTTTTAATCGGTCAATGATTTGACAAAAAAAATGACTGTCCAATGATAATTTTTAGCAAAATTGTTATCCTCACTGTTAAAATATGTAATTTGTTCTATTTACATGAATTGTCATTCGAGTGATTTGATATAATTCATTGTCCCTTATTGGTAGGGAATTTTCCAACCCAGTTATTATGCTCCATATGCATTATTTTCAATTAGTTCTGTTGAGCCTCTGGTGATAAGTCATGTAAATTTATGATTAGCAATAGAATATTTGAAATGCCAAAATTGATTTGGCTGAGAAAGTAAAATTTTAATGTGATGTTTAAATATGATTGGTAGATAAATCTGGTAGTGAAAGCAGTCAGTGAAAATATTATAAAGAAAGTTACAACACTCACATTAATCTAGATTACAAAGCTTGGTTGTAACCAGAAAAGATGCTGATTATTGATAAGCTGAAGTGCTGTTTTTGTTACTACATGAAATAAATAATGCATTGATTGTCGCTAAATCGGTCCAGAAGAGATCTTTTCGATCACCATTTCATTCTTTCACAGGTGGTGTCATTTTAGTTAAAGTAAATAAAAACTGAGTTTTCAAGCGAACGACTGTTCATTACTGGAATTTAATCAATCTCACGTACATGCGTATATATATAATTTTCATTTCCTGATTTGAATTATTTAAATGCTTGGAGGTGAGGTCTTAATTGATACATTAGTGGTAAGTGATAGCAATTGATAATAGCAAAGATTATAAGAATTCGTACTTCAGTTTTTGTGTTTTTCAATGGTCTAGTGGAATTACGACTTTTGAGCATTGATTATTTGAAGAAATTCAAATGGAAAAGATATTCCAAAATTGTAATGATTAATGAGGGGAGAAGAAAATTCTAAGTACAAAGAATTACGGTAATAAATGTATGGAGACGGGTGAAGTGATGTACAAGAGTTTAATTACACTTTGAAATGTATGCCATTACCTTTGCGCTTCTTTCGCAGTTTTGTCAATTGTCATTATATGGCGCAACAGATGGCAAAAGTTTGTAATAAAATGGATATTTTTTATTTCAAAAATATACTTGGAATTTAATAAAACAAATGGCCTCGAAACTGATGATTATTGTATAATTAACAATAAACTTTGAGGCGCTTAATTCCATTTCACATTTCAATGAATTTCGCAATGAATTGTAGGAGAATAGAAATTACTCTTCAAGGATGATAACTGGTTGATTTAAAATCAAATTAATTGACCAGGATTACATTTTTGTGACAATTTAAATTCGTTCTCAATAAAATCTGCCAATTTTAGCTTGGTAGTCAAAATAAATCACAAGAATTATCGTCAAAATATTCCATATCTCAAAATAAAACCACTAAAGCTTCATTGAAAAACGACGCCGACAGCCAAAACAAAACAAGATCGAATGTAATGGAGACCGAATTGGGTAAAATCTTTACCAGCAAAATCAGCTTGAAAAATCCTGAAAATTTTATTTGAAGTTCTCATACATCACATTTCTCTAAGCATCTTAACTTTTTGAAACTCCTTTAAAACTTTAAAGCTTTTATGAACTGTATTGTAATGAAGGAAGAATTGAATTTTCAAGTTTTCGGGAAGCAAGGACAAGTAGTTTCTCATGCAAATTTTTAGGAATTCTCCATTTGTTTGAAAATCCAAATTTTAAATACTTAATAACAATGTTTAGCATTGGGTGGACGTATGACACCGGTGGAAATGTTGAATAGTCTTGGATTAGAAGGGTCGTTGACAGCAACGTATAATGATAATCGATCCATACTGGAACTATTACCCGGAACAATACAACCAACTAGAAATTTGATAATCAGACCTGGTAAACATATCGATTGTGAAAAGGTCGAGAGGCATGTTTTGATATATTAACCTTATTTATGCAAGAATTTCAGAATCAATGAGGAAAACCGTATACTTCGAATATAATTCGGAGAAGCGGGGACAAGTAACAAATTAAAATTCGCAATTTATATAAACGAGCTTTAACAAAGCAACCGCTTGAAGTGTTGATTTAATCTAATTTACACGAATACCACTTTTTTATAGTTGCCGTGCTAAGTAATCAATCTATTAAGTAAATTTGATAGCACTACACATTCTTACTCAAATGTAGAATGAAATCCAACAAACTGTGTCGTCCATCATCAGGCATAATTAGCACGGCTCATAGATAGCTTTAGTGTTGTCATTCTTCTTAACTTGTTTAACTTCATTCCTTTGAAATTAACAGTGTTTTGGAGCAGAATATATTAATTCATATTTGATTTTCCTGTAGACGTTTTAACGGATTAATTTATTTGATTAAATTATTGCAAGTAACTTGATAATCAGAAGTAATATTTACAAGTAATTGATTCTGAGTAGTTAATTACCAGTTTAAATGGAGGTGAGCAAAAGCACATATTCTCAGGAGCAATTGATTGTTTAATTATTGAACAATGTGCAATTACATAAGTATAATGAGTTAAGAGATTTAAATGTTGTGAGATATTGTGTTGTGTTTAATTTGAACAAAAAATAAATTAAATGGAAATAAAAAGGATTTGGCAAATGGATAAGTAAACAGGAAAGAAAACAATGAATGCAGCACTGGACAGAATGAAATGACGTTGAAGAATTTTAATCAACAAATTAGTAGAATATGAATATATAGTAAGTTTCTGAACTTTGATGTCTTATTTATCATCGCAGCTTGTTTTGGAGTCTTTAGTCTTCGAATTATTTTGTTTTATTCTCATATTTCTCCTTCTCAATCGGATTAAATAGCTATCATTTATAAGATCACCGTATTGTTGAAGTTGTGTATAAGGTTGGATTCTTTTTTTGAAGAAGTTTGTTTATTCTGAATAATAACTCATTCAAGAAAAGTTAACTATTGAATGCTATAATGATGTGAAAATAGTTTGCATCAAAATAAGTCCATTTATTCGAAAAATAACTGCAAACTCCTTCTAAAGTGCTATGTTAAACCAAAGGGACACAGATTGTAGAAGTACTTCTGATAAATAAAATTTAGGGAAAGTTTAATAGATCCATTCTGATAAATTCTTCGTCTTATCATTTGGCTATGTTCAGTCAATCTTCTGTTTTCAACGTTAAAAGGTTTTGAAAGTCTATTTCGTAGAAAACTAGCCAGTGATAATGATATTTTTTTCAAAGAGTTAACGATTCATTTAAAATACTAGAATTTCATAGAATCCAATAAACACAAGAAATTTTGATTTCTATAAAGAACTGTCTAATCATGATAATTTGAAAAATAAGCAATCTTCAGCGAATTAATGTCAGATGACTTGAACTATTTAGTGCTTATGCTTACATCAAGCATATTAGTGCTTATGCTTACATCAACATAAATTATGTTTCTTTCTGAGATATGAAATTGAGTTGATAATTTTTTAGGTCCTGAATCTTTAAAGTACTACGGTAATTTTATTTAATGGAACTTGCATCTTCTACATTTGATTTTCAATAGTTCATCAAAAAATAAAACCTAAGCGATGTTAAATCTTGTTTTGCTGCAGCCCAAGCAATCATAATTTCTCTTTCGTCAATGTCATGCTTAAATATTTTTGCAATGAAGATGATAAATGAAATCAGAAAATGATAAACGGTTCAGGATAGAATATTGCTGCTTAGATCAACGTCATCTGATGTTATGGCATTTTTGATGACAGATCAGTTTTGCCCACTTTTGCTGTTGAGTTCGACCGAAATGTTTGTTGTCGTAGTTATAGCAGTTGTGGTGGTGGTAGTAGTAAGTGGCGGAAAGGGTAAGGGATGGATGCATAGCAACACATGCACACATACGCATACATTCAAACATCTATTGGCTTTATACTTCAGCACTTTTTGAAAGCTTTGACTCACTGAAAACGACCTTATGGCTTATGACGGTGAGAAGCAGAGAAGTAAGAATCCATCAAGAATGCTAGGAGCGGGACATACTATCAGCTGACTGCAGGCCGGGATGATGATCATTCGACATTTAATTCCTTTCAGAAATCTCCCGTAAACGTCATTTTTTTTTCCGTTCATATAAATGATTTCATTTTATGTTATTAACTGACAAATCTCACGTCATTTCTGTAATGTGAAGAGTTTCTTTAATGTGCTGATAGCATGAATGATAACAATAAACCAATAGTTAAGGGGTAAGTGGTTATTCTATCAAATGCAATTGAAGAAATCTAATATCATATTGATAGACTGACACATTCACTGCATCTTTTCACTCGCAGAAATGGTCTTAAAAACCTATAGCTGTTACTTGTATTTTAAAAGGAATAAATTGGAATGTAACTAGTCTGTTCTATCCTATCCATTTAATTAATTACTTCATTTATGCTAATTAAGTCGGTCTCTATATTTTACCGGATAAAATGGCCTATTAGCCATGTGTTGATTTTCATTCTTCAATTACGATACTTTTGAATTTAAATTAGAATTTCAGATCTCCTCATTCATTCCTCTCAAGAAATGGGAGATTGTAGGCTTTAATCAGTATGGAATTCTATATTTTGTACTATGATCATTATAAAAAAATTGGCCACTCGGTAATGATCATTGCTATTTTTGTCACTGTTTTTACTGACTGTTCTTCAACGAATTTTATTTAAATTCCTAACGCTGAGTGTTTTACCGGAAGATACCGAGACCGAAGTTTCAAATCCTCGTTTGTTCACTCCTGCAATATCTTTTCTGATTCTCGACTTTTTTTCCTTAAATTCAAAACCATGTACGCTTTGTATGACCCTATTCAGATTTCTTCTCTTAGACTTGTCTCATCCAATGTGCTTTTTCATTACCTTACTCTTTCCGACTTCAATCTGATCTAATCTCGTCCATTTGATACGATTTGACTCAAGCTAGTCTTGCATCAAACTACAATTAATCAATGAAAAGTTGCTATGAACTGATATACTTCCTGTAAGAGCAGTATGTATCAATGTATCGATGTCATCACTATTTGAGGAATAAGGCCAAACAAGAGCTAATATGCAATCAGCTGTGACGCTGACTTGTTTAGGAATTGATATCTCTGATATGTGCTTTACATTTTTTCCTTATTCTCTGCTACAATTCAGTATATTTGTAGGAAATCTTTGCATACTACTAGCTATACAATAATTAAAGTGTGTTGTTCAAGAGTTGATATCCGATTCCAGATGTGTAAGCTAACTTACTACCAATCCTTCTGACCTTTCCTCTTATCTTATCTCAAAGCATTCCATCATTCTTGATCCTATTTGGGAAATAAGCAGAGAAGTTAAGACACACAAGATTATTAAGCACAACCAGTTTTGTACTCTCAACTAAATGAACAAGGACATTTCATGTTAACATCAGTAGGGAGAGGGTTCCATTCAACAGTATTTACATACCGACAATGTAAAATCTTTGAGGTTCGCCGCTTGTCGATAATTTTTTGTTCGAGGTCAAATTTTGTGTAACTTCCTGATTCTACATAGATATCATCACTGATGTCATGTTCTTCAATTTGATAACGAATGAGGCAAGGTACTAAGTCCATCTTTCATCTGATTTCACTCTTTTAACATTTCATGCTTCTTTTTTCAATCCATATTAAGGGAAAGAGTAAGGAAGTCGAAAAATTGAAAGTCTTTCGATTCATATTTTTTTGTTTAGGTATGCTTCTTTGTTCGTTACATAATTTTTGCATAGTTTGTATACTTCGTTTTCCATACTTTCTTTTTCGAATTCAACATTAATTATTTCCAGTGCAATTTGGTAAAAGGCATATGTATAATCGTGAAATACCGATTTTTCGCTCGTATCTCATCTTCTTTTGCAGCCAAAACCTGTTTAATGTCATTGGGTAACTATATTTGGCTCAGCAAGGAAGCACTTATTTTTAAGTAAGTTTATCCAAATATGTTACTGCCTAAGTTTTCTAAAATACCATATTCTCAGACATATTTCGCTATTATAGACGCTCCAGTTCTACTCAACACAGTTGTATAAAGTCCTGATAAATAACCAATAACTCAAGGATAAATTAACATATCATATCATTTTGAATGATAATAGATTGTGAACTGTCGTGAGATGCCATTTTGACCGCATCATTTAAGTTGTATTTCATTTACTGAGTGCTTACCAAATGCTTAGTTATTAACCAGTAGCGCCTTACTGATTGTTTTTCTAGCAAGCTTAAGTTGGCGTCTACTTCGGCATTTTTGAAATAAAACAAATTTTAATACAGTGCATTTAATATATTCAAGAGAAGCATATGTTCAAAACTAGCACATTTTGTTGGTAATTTATTTGACGATCAAATAAAGTTTATTGTCCATTCTCTTTCGTTTTCCTTTGACTTTCTTTTGTTCCGAATAAATTCATAACTTTTTGGTCCTTTTCTAAATGAATGGATAAAAATATCGTAAGAAAGTGATGAAATTTTCAAAAACTATTTTTATTCGGAAAAAATATTTTTATTCAATACAACTATACAGTTTTTCATTATAGCTAAGCCTAAAGACGTCTTTGCTAATGTAAATAGGACAGAAAACCTTTGCGACAATACACAAAAACAAAACAATGACCGTATCCACTTTTGAGCCAAAATTTGGCTCTGTAAGTGCTTTGATGCTTCTTTTTATTTCTTTCTACATTACAATCTGTTCGAGAAATGGTTCATTGTGGCACAGAGTAAAAGCGACATTTCAAAAAAACGATATTATCAGTCAGTTCATGCGGTCAACCATCGACTGTAGAATGGATGACATTGAGTTCTTCAACAATCCTATGTGTTTATAAGAGGATCAAGCTCGGTAATCGCTCTTGATTGGTCATTGTTAACCTTTGGAGACCGGTTACTAATTCCTTTATCTTTAAACTGCTCGTTTTCTTCATAGAATTTCTTGGACCAAATATGTCGTTGATATTATGTGTTATCTCAGCTTATGAATTCAGTTTGCTTTTTGTCTAATTTCATTTCCAAAATTGGTCCAATAACAAACGGCATAAGTTATTAGCAGGGGAACATAACGCAAATAAATGAGCATTAAAAGCGATAGTCGCATTAATTTGAGGATGTATTCTAATATGAAACAGCAAAGTTCAACTGTGAAAATCGCAAACCCTTTGTACATTCTCTCTTGTTGACATTCCATTTGTCATACACAAACTGATATCACTCTCATTAACACATATTTAATGTAAATTTTAGCTGAAAAGACTTCGAAACTGATATTTTCATGTATTTTTACTACATAAATTATAAAATGCGTCAACGAAGATAGCAATGAGATTTGTCACCAAAGTATGGACAAAAAGGAAAGGAGACTGCGAATGCTTTTGTGTTACAGTTGTACAATACAATACACACCACATTGTTGACTTGCGATCACCAGTCTTGTTGACGTTTGTTGATTTGCTGTTTCATTGTTAAACTATCACCTCACTCGTTTTTTTTTTGCTCTCTTTTAAAATTCAGTAACAAAGATACTTATTTTCTGTTGGGAAAATATTCCCTTCCTTCTTCTCTCTCCTTCTCAATCATTCACACTTATTCATTCACGTAAATTCGCGGGCTGGTGATGTTCATCCGTTCGGTCTTTTGTTTTGTGTGTGTGTGTTTTTTTAATCTTAATTGAAATTGCATGATCCATCAATAATTCACTATCCATATTATTTTATGAAGGAAAATATTGACCGCAATATTGCTTAGTTTCAAAAGTAGAAGATTTTGAATAAAAATCATTTGATGCAGTTGGTTCCAGAATCTGTGCTTTTCATTAAAAAGGTAAGTGCAGTTCCTGGGGGCGTAACTTCAACCCCCTTTCTAAAGATTTTGAATGGTAATTTTTCGACCGACTCACCACTCTTCGTAAACTACACTTATTTCAACTAATATAAGTTGAACTCAGCTGTGAATTTTTTTGTTTTACGATCACTTGTCCATCTCAGTGTTGAACATCATGAGTTCTTTCAAAGGATAATTTGCCCTCGAAATGGACTGGGATAGACTGGTTATTATCATTATCTTAATTGTTTTGGATGACTTATATATGCTTGTTTGTTTTTTCACGACTAGGGAAAAAGATTCTGAGTAGTGTGACCTTTAAAAAATGGAGCAAAAGAAGTCAGGCTAGAACGAAACACATTTTCATTTTATTTCATTTTCGTCTCTGTTACATTTTTATAGATTTTTGCGCTCATCAAAATTTCGTCAACGTCTTAGAGAACAGAGGATTTAAAATTGTTGACATTTCTTCTCTTAATGATCTCTTTTTTTTGAAATGTAAAAATAACACTGGCTTTCATTGTACGTAGAGTAGTTTGGAATTAGTCCTTGTTTGAAATATAAATCTCTAAAATATATTTGAATTTATTAAGAAATAGGGTGAATCAAATATGATTTCAAGGCTGAAGTAAATTTCCGATATAAGGCTGATGAAGGATATTATTCTGAAATACATGGAACTTTTTCAAATTAAACTGATCATTTGTTGAATTTGTCATGTGTGACTGTCAACAGTACCAAAGTACTGCCATGCTCTTTGTCGTCTTATGAGATTTGGCAGAAAATAATTTTTTTAATTGTCTCATAGATTTTTGTCATGCATGATGGACGTGTTCGGCGTTCTTCGTTGGTACCGGATGGGCGTAATTACCAAGCGGTGAAGTCCTTTGAATACCATCATCTAAGATCGATTCAAGCTAGACGCAGAAACAGGTTATATCATGCTCTTTTCACTTCATTCTCCTTTATTTCCCTATTTTTCATTCTTTCATTTCATTTCACATCTCACCATCATTCCGTTTTTTCCCTCTCCATGTCTCAGGAATCGGTTATTCATCATCATGTTCTTCCGTAACCGTCATTGCATCTGTTAATGATTACTGGGTTCTAGGATGGCGATTAAAACTATAAAGAATAACAATTTGCGAAATTTCAGAGAATTTTTTTTGGAGTCTCATTCACCTGACATCTGAGGTACCGCTCTGCTTGTCACACTTTATTTGACACCATTGATGGATAAAATTTATGCGTCAAAAGTGATATATAAATATCACCATGTCAACTATGAATTTGCAGAAAAAGAATTATTTGTATGTGATATGTGAATACAACTACCGCACTAAGTTAAAAGAGATGTAATGCATGGATAAAGGATTTTGTCCTAATTCGGTTCGAGTTCAAGACTTCCGGGTGGAAATATCTGGTAGATTATATCTACAATGCATAGTAATAACGATAACAGTAATGCTTTCTGCTTTATTTCTTTCTTATTTGTTTCCTTTTTGTCATACTGTTCTCATTTTGCTCTCTCTTCTTTTTGATTTAAAAATTTCTTTCAAATTCTCATTGAGTCCTTCTTAGCTTCAAAGCCAAAGTTGAAAAGATAAAATGTCTAATCTTCTGTGGGAACGAAAAGTTCTGCTAGAAGAGTATCCTGGAATAAGTGACATTGGCTGTAATATGAAACAACTTGCAGGTAAACTAAATTTTTTCCAACTGAAAACTCTTTCAGTGATCATCAAAATAATAATTCAATTTAAAATTATCTCCACTTTGTGAGATAATTACGTGATCAGCTGATCTCAGCAGGCAATGATAAAATCGATATTATTTCGATATTAATGATTAGCATAAATAGGAGATTTATACCTACTGTCCTCTCCATTTTCTCAAGTACATTTGAAATTCCTGTCCTAATATTATGAGACTGGTACTGATAAATTTTTGATTTAAAAAAAGCGCAAAAGGAGAGAAATAACAGGCGAGGGAATTTTCGAATAAATTTCCTTTGGTTTGCGGTATACACAAATATTTATTTACAGTCCATATTCTCTCCAAAAAAAAAGAATCTACAACGAATGCAAATTTCCATGTCAAATATTTTAATTTTAACTTGAAATGTAAAACTTTTATTCGGAATGTGTTAGTTATTAAAAATATACAGACTTAATAACAAAATAAATTTTCTGATTAATATTTGTGCAAACTTCACTGCTTAAAATATGCAAATTTCTTCAACACACATATTTCTGCTCAGAATGTGCGGTTTTCAGTACTCAATACAATATCCAAATTATGCAAATTTTTGATTCCTAAAATTCTACCGAAAAACTTACATACGATTAGTTGTGGATTGATTGTTGCCTCTGACCGGTGGTATTTTCATTTTAGCTCGCCGGCTGGTGAGACCGTTGTTGCCGCGAGTGGAACTGGTGCTAGTACACCGATTATTGCCATTGATGGTAAAATTGAGCAGGCAATGGTAAGTCCTTTTTCTCCTACTTCTTTCATTATTCTGTTTCACACGTCTAACTTCTGGAAAGATTAGACCAAATCCTATATCACTTTTGCTAATAAACGGGACTACCTTTCAGGAAGAAAAAGTCAGGCTAACTTTGAGAAGTTTACTCGGAATGTGTTAATGTCACTAGAATGTATAAGCCTCTCCTTAAATATCCTTTAATATCATTCAACCTTCACTCTTTCTTTTCCCAATTTTTTCCTCCACAGATATTACAAAACAGTATGCTTAATTGTGTCACTTATGATATGATCATAATATAGTCATGGATCATGATTATAGCTTTGTGAGTGTATTCTTGTTATTAAGACATGAATTGTTTTAGTTGTCGTGAAGATTTTGAAATCAGAACCCGTATAAAAAAGAAGGAACTGAATAAATCGTTGATTACTGTGTCAAACTAAAAAGTATCTGTGTTGATAATTTTAATATTTCTGCTCTCAAGAATTCAAAGAATTGCTTAATTGTTGAAATTTTTATGAACATTTTGAATTATCAATTCAGGACTTGGTGAAAACTCATCTGATGTTTGCCGTACGTGAGGAAGTTGATGTTCTAAGGGCAAAAATCATGGAATTGGAGGCTACCGTAAGTACTTTCACTTCTTTTACTCCTCCTTGAAAACTAACAAGAAGTTGAAAGGTGTATTTATAAAGCTGACAGTGTCGCAGACTTGAACGGTAAATCTAAAATTAATTAGAAATGATTGGGACTGAAAGGAAGTGGGATTAATCTGCTAATAATACTTGAAAACAAATACTGTCCTACCTTTTGTGACACAGTCTTCTGGCTCAACATATATCAAATTAGTGAAATGTAGTATCTGAATTTCAGATTTTGCAATTAGAAACTGAGAATGCAATTCTTCGTGAACATGTACCGGTGGAAATTTTGAATAAATTAAGTTTGCAATCGACACCGCCGAATTCGAGTACAACAACAACTGCTGTTTGAATGCCGAATAGTTTGAATTTTTTTCATCATTTGACCTCTTCGTTCTTAATAATAATAATAATGTATAATTTTTCCTATATTTCTTCGTTTCTTTTATTCGATACTTTATGATTCACATTATCATCTATACATATTTCAGTGCTTTTTCAAGTTGTACTCACTTTTCATATCATAGCAGGGAAGGAAAATTTCATTTTAACGAATGAAAATTATCAGAAAATTGTTTCTTTTTGTAGTTTCAACCAAATTTAAAAAATTTCATGGCGTACTGACTCTTTGTGGAGTAAGCAAGTTTTTTGTATTTCTATACGATATTCTCGAACATTGAGTCATGCAAATTTACTTGATTCTTGGATATTTGTTTTGGTTTGTTATTGGAATGGAACGGGTCATTGTCAATGTCATTATTTAATATTTCACCAAGTAAGATGACCCGTCATTTCACTCATAAATCTTAATTAATTTGAGTTGATTTAAGTATGCATTTGGTAGTCCTTAGCTTGCTAGAATTTAGTAACGTGTTGAAATGTAGCTTAGGATTACTGAAGCACACTTTCCCGACATGGATTGTCGGCAGTTCGCCTATTGGTGCCTACTTACCACTTTGTGTGAATCTGTCAAATCTTTGACTAGAAAGAACTGCCGTAACAAACGTGTATTTTCCTAATGCCAAACGTGCTGATCGTTTTTGTTAAGCATTTAGTATGAATTTCAAATGCTATTGAGATTGATGTTTAATTCTTCCAACATTTAAAGTCAAATAGCAAATAATGACGAAATCTTTTTTGATATTTCTGTGGTGTTATAGTTGACTGTTCCTGCATTTCCCCACCATCTTTTAACAATTGTTTTGATCTTTAAAAAAAAAATTTCTTCTAGGTTTTGAAATCCTAATACGTTGATTTCCTAATACGGATGAAAATTCCACTCTTCGGCAAGATAAGGGGATGAATTTTTTTGAGATTCTGGAAATCTATCTTTGAAATATCCAAAATCTTAAGTGTCGAATATACGGGAGTTTTGCTTTTAACCCTTAAGCAAGTGCCCCATTTTAAATTTGCCCCAACCAATAATAAATATATCACAGTGAATCAATTCATACTGTACATAAAAAGTTTCATCATTTCTCTCGGCTCTGTTTCATACATTGATAGTACCTGTCATTTACTTGATGTCCATCATCATTATCTCATCTTTATTACCTTGTTTCCATCCAAGCAAAAAACAGCAGAATAAGGAATCGATTAGGTGCTTCATTTCCGGATTCTAAGCTTCATTCCTGGAGTTTCAAGCTAAGGGACACATCGAAGAAACTTTTTTTTTCAAGGGAATTCACTTTAAGCATTAAAATGAGCAATTTTTCCCCAACTGAAAATCTCATTTGAATGTGAAATTTTCTGTCTTTGTTCTTTCGTCCTCTTCAGGTATTCTTGTCGTTATGCATGTACTCTTTGCCATCATTGCCATTGTTTCCGTCTAGTTTTGCATTTTTGAGGTACAAGCTTCTCTTCCGGAAATCTGCAGCTTCTTAAATATTGTTCCTATGCAAATATGCAAATTCTTCGCAACATGCACTCGCACCTTTTCATCCTACACCCCGTGCCTCTACAAAATCATTGGAGAAAAAAAAGAAAAAATGGGATTTAGGCTTTCATTTTAACACTGACATCGTTTCAAACGTAGTCTTATCGCCCTAAAAATGAAAAACGAAGTCACTGAAACTGTTTGAGTAGCTTGCAGTATATTTAAATAAAGTATACCAATTATTTATTGTGTATGGAAAAGTAGCCCAAAAGTTTATGATATGTATTTCTTTGTCACCCTTTACCAGTATTTTTGAATCAGTGTTTCCCACAGCTGGATGAAAATAAATTCATGAACTTGTTCACCTTACAAACAGCGCTATGCAGTTTCGATATTCAAATTTCTATAAGTACTTACTAAACTGAACCGTATTACGCAAGAAGCGCATTTTTAATCGAATTTAGTTTGCATTCCAAAAAAATTTTGACCCAAGTAAATACTTGTTAAATTCCCCCTACCACTCAACCGAGTTCGGTGCAATAAAAAATGAGATTTAGGCTTCCATTTTGACACTGACATCGTTTCAAAGTAGTCTCACCGCCCTAAAAATGAGCAACGCATTTAAAAATAAGCAAATAGTATCGCATGTTGCAGTCAACATATACTGTTTAACTTCAAAAAAAACAAAAGAAGCATAGGACATAAATGAGGATAATTAGACACTGTTTAATGCAAGGATGAAACTCCTCGTAATACGTCACAGTTTTCAAAATGGCATGAAATTAAGAAAATAAGATGTCTCAAAAAATAATATTACACAGCAACGAAGTAAATAGTACCATTACTGATATCAAAATATGGTGGTAATAAAGTACTACTGATCGTATTTTATCACTGGAAAATATAGTAGAATACATAAAGGGAGAAATATTAAAATATGAGAGCAGAACAAATGCTACTTCGGACGAGAAAAAATGTAACGATTTAAAATCTAATTATTACCAAACAGAAAAACACTAAAATGAGTCAGACAAAAATATCCACACGGTTAAAGTAACGGGAAAAAAAACCATGAAATGAACAAATCTATCCACATTATAGGCAAAGAATAAAGTTGTCACAGTTATTGACACAACTAAGCACACGCACACACATACCCTGAAGCATAGGTTGTACCAAAACCTTGCTTTAGCTATATCAAGACAGTCCAAAATCGTATTATAGAGATAGAACTGCTACAAACAAATGCAACTTCAACATCTGAAGATCAATTTCTGACAGAAGAGATTCTAAGAGCACTCAATTCGACACCTTCCTTCCCCATACTGCAATAAAAAAAATGCAGATGGAAAGAAATATATAAAACAACGCACTTAAAAGCAACTCACAACTTTTAAAACACGAAATAGTACGTTCTCCAAAAGAAAATACCAGGAAAAAAAAACATCTCCCGGCTCTCTGGATTCTGAAACACTTCTTAAATAAAAAATGTTCATGTGAATCCAATGCCATACCATTTCATTATCCCATTTCATTAAACAGAAAGCACAGGTAGTCATTCTAGAAATAAAAAAAGTAAAGGAAAAATAGACTTGCTGTAATTTCACCAATTATATTAGGAAAAGAAAAACAAGGCTGAAATGATGTCCTGAAGCACCAAACATATATTGTGAAAATCAAATGCATCAAATAGAACATCCTTGATCCAAACTGAAATTTAGAATCTAATGTTTCAAAAAGCAGTCAGAATTAGGGGAATGATATGTCTACAACCGCTCTGGATTTTTTAAATTTGGAGTGCTTGACTGAAGACTGAAGACCGACTTCTTTCCCCACAGTCATCAGGCGACATCAGTAATACGAGATCTGAATATTACCGCACTGAGAAAGAATCTCATTTCAGGAGGTAGATCTCTTATAGAAAATCTCAATAGAAAATTCCATAAAATCTTTAGATCCTTCCACTCGGTATATCTATTTTGACTCAGTTAAGAAATTCAGTTTTGAATTTCAGCGAATTAGTAAACGGTATCGCTATACAGCAGAATTTCACAGAAATCACTCCAAATGAATCGGCATTATTGTTAGAGGTTTTTTGTAAAAATCTTGAAATAATCGGCACTATATATGTGCCGTTAAGAAGGCAGTGTTTAGCCAACTACAAAAACAATATGGTGAGACAGATAAGAAACTAGTCAACGTGGCAGTTTACTCAATAAGATATCTGGAATAGCATGAGACTCTACTTTATGGATATTAAAACCATGATTTATCATTTCAATATTCATTTACTCAGCAAATAAGGAAATTATATCTAATATAATAAAGGTCGATTAAGAATTATTACCTACTTTGGACCATTCTAATGATCGTCGTGCAAGAAACATTTCTGAAACCTCGCTATAGCTGACTACATAGGAATAAACTTATTTTCAAGAGCACGTAACTTAAACCAAAATCTCCAACTGTTATGTATTTCTCGCAAAATCATTTTAAATAGAGATTTGGAAGTGTGCAGAAAAATCAGATAAATCATGGCTTAAACAGATAACAGTTTGAAAGTCTAAGTAAAAAAAAACCTGTTAAATCAAATCAAAATGCAACTAACAGATCAATGGATTACAGGTAATATGTATAAATGAATTAATCTGTTTCTGAGTCTGTTGAAGCGAAGAAACGCTGGAAACAGCCGGTCGTGTGAGAAGCTGATCGGCAACAACGCTGAGGCCAGAGTTGAACACCGAAATTAGACCCGTCAACTCACGTTCTTCAACGCAGCATTTCTTTACACTACATGAAGACGGTAAACGAAGTGCAGAGGTTTTACGTTTTCGATGGTGCAGAGGAGTTGTTATTGCACATAATGAACTGTTTCCAGAATCTCCGTTCTTCTCAGTCTCGTTGTCATTGATGCAAGAACAAAGTTCTTCGTCATCTGAGACAGATTTTGAAACCGGGGCAACAGCTGTGTCAGCAGATACTGTTAAACAGCCAAAGTCAGAATCTCCTTTCGACTTATTTGTTGCAAATTCTTCTACTCCTTCCTCTTCTTTCTCTTTTGCTTGTTGGCTAATCGACTGCGATGAAATTATATCTTCCGAGAAATACATATCAGGAAGGAATGCGGAGTCGTTATACATGTGTTGCTGGGCTGTTGTCTCATCCAAACCGTACATTTCCGGACCAGCAAATGAATAATGCAACGGTGCAAGACGAAGTGTCGAATAGCCAAACTCGATTTGTTCCTGCTTTACCAAGTTACCACAACTGCTATCCAAATGCGTAAGTTCATGACTGAAAAGGAAATTTTAAGTACTTAGAAAACCTTTTTGTGAAAAGTGTTTGACATTATTCAGTGGTTTATTTTTTTCAATAAAGGGAATAATTGTTGAACAGAACCATAAACACCTTGGAAAAGATTAGCATACTTGCTGCAAAAAGGCTTGGTTTCCATTGACCTTACAAAACAAAAGATATATTATAACCCGAAAATTTTCCGAGTTTTTCTTCTTTCAGCTGCGAAAATTTCAACGCTTTATTATCATTAGATGCAAAAAAAAATTCACAAAGCATATTCATTAAACAAGCTGACAGTCGAGAAAATTGCACATATTTTCGCTCTGTTCCGGATTTGGGCTTTTTCACTCTTTTTTTTTTGTTTAAGGAAATGGATTTTGAAAAACAGGAAGGCCGATTGGATCACGTTAGAATTTTATGTGTTACTGCTACACTGCATACTTGAATAACTTCCATTTACACATGAACTCATCCGCATCAATTAGCTCGGAAAGCTTTTGCGGAAACAACCTCTTTATTAGATACTCCTGATTATCTCAAATCCATGCTCCTAGCTCCCCATCTCTTTCCTATGTTGTTCTTATTTTTACGAAGTATATTATGCATAACTGCCTGAGAAAATGTTTCCTCACCATAATGACGATTGGATTTATCCACTTAAAAATCTGCACGATGATTTAGCAATATCTTAAATTGCACATTAGTAGGGATTGCACATTACACTCTGAACTACAGAAACTTCGCAACATGAAACTGTTCCCGGTTAGTCTTAGCTCCTAAAAAACAGTTACAACAATTCCGACTCCATCGTTTGCTCCCGGCAAGGCAAAAAATCCCTACTTTTTTGACAAATCCAACAAGTGAGTTGCATCCACATCCGCATTCTCATAATCGACGTCATCCATTTCCTCTTCTTCGTTATCTATATCAACATAATGAGAAGAAAACGTATCCAAAACCGGCATAGGATTCGTATGCATCACCATCATAGAGGTCTCTGCTAATGGCTCTTCCACCCATTCCGAGTTATTTACGAACATTGGAAACCTAAAAATCTTAGGTGAATTTGATCAAGGAATTTACCAAGGATCTCCTTACCAAGGATTTTTTTGAAAGGAAAGAAAATGTTGAAAACCAATCAGTAAAAAGAAAAGAGATGGGTAAAATTAAACTAACCTTTTCTGTTTATCACGAGCCTTTCTCAACAAATGTAGAATTAATAAATTTCGATGCAGCTTTGCACCACCTCGTTCACTTTTTGAATTGACCATTTTAGCGCATGAAAGACGAATTAGACGATTACACACTTCAGTTTCAATGATTTCATCAACATCATTGACTGGAGGCATTTCCGCAGTATTCAAAACTGACACCTTAAACTGTTCAAAATCAAATCATTCGCAAGCGCATACTAACAAAAGAGGTACGACAGAATGAAGCACGCTCAAATATCATAGAAAGTTATCAAATTTCGACTAACTGGAAGGACAGAAGTAATGCAATAAGAGGGGCATTATGGCGCAAAAAGCGAGTTCCACTGACTCCAAAAATGCGCTTTGCGTTAAGCACTACTATGCTATAAAACTCCATTTCCCTTATAGTCTAATGTAACCCATAACATTTTCATGTGATTTTTAGGTTCCAGCCAACAAATATCCCAGGTTATACTACCACTGCTTTGACTTCTTAAAACTTTACCGAGTAAAAACCCAATTAGCAAGTTTTTATCACCTGTTGTTTGATACTACCTTTTACAACCTCTCAGAGAGGTGGTGCAAAAGCGAAAATAACGGTATAGTACTAGACAGAGTGCGCGTAAGATTTGGGAATTTGTTCTAAGGGCGGAGGTTGGGGTGATTTCATCTACGAGCGAGCGGCAGTGAAATTTTGCATGCTTCTACAAATATTTCAAGTTGCAGGCGTGTCAGGGAATAAATGTCTCCAAATTATACAATGTAGGGATGAGGAGTTAGGAAACCTCATGTCTTAAAGTCTTCCCGATGAGTGTTCAGCGGGAAACTATTCCTTCCCGTAACCTATTGGTACTCTTCAAACCCAAACCAGGCATATGCCTGTTGGAGATTCCATTGCTTCTCTCCTTAGCCAAGAACATGTAGACGTGAAGTCTCACACTTCACTTTGCAGTGGTTCCACGCATAAAACTAATAAGACGATATAGTCTTGCTAACCGAATTAACAAGTTATTGGTTATCATATCACTGTGACACAGCAAACCAGACATAGTCCTATGAGTGACTCACCGATCTCCGCTATAGTAAACGAAAAAGATGCGCATCTACGATTCCGCAATTTTTCCCTCCATCCCCTTTACTCGGGAAATGTTCGAGAAAGCTATGTAGAAGGAGCTCAGCATATTTGGTGTAAGAGCTCTCCTGGGTGGTACCACGACGCTCAGCGCGCAGAAAGCTTGCTGCGTGTCGCTGATTGCGATGGCATCACCTGCCCAGCTTGGTCAGCAATGCTATCAATAACGATGATAATGCAAATAAAAGTGATTACAAACGGGCGCACTGGCAGCACCCAACCCAAACCTGCACATACTCCCGGCCCCCCCCCCCCTCCGCTCTCCTTCTGCGTCTTCGTTGCATTTCTGTTTCTCTCTTTCGCTAACATAACTGGCAGAGGAGAGACAAAGTGACCGATAACAACATGAGTGACACGCCCACGCCTGGCAGCCAGGTGCACGAAGTGTGGAACGAGCAGCAAATAATATAAGAGGAATGAAAAATAAAACAGACGAAAGTATGTGTGACGAGGAAGCAAAGAAACAAAAGAAAAGAAGAGAGCGTGAAACTCAAGGAGGACCACATAGACACCGGATGCGCAAGCAGGGTAACCACTTTGCCCCAAGCGCACTCGAGCATATCCCAAATGAGAGTGCATTGATGGAATGAGGAACAGACAGACAGACAGACAGACGGTTGGAGGGAGAGGGTACATCGTAAAGGATCAAACATTAGGAAATGGAGCATGGTATTGATATCATTGGCAGTGTGCCAATGCACTTGGAATTACTGCTCCCACAATTCAGTCATTGCGGGGAGACAATAAAACTCATGGTGGTTTTTATATTCCAGCGTTTGACGGGAGCATCGGAACGAGCGGGGAACATTCCAGGAAGCATCGGGACGAGCGGGGAACTTTTCAGGAAGCATCGGGACGAGCGAGGAACTTCCCTCCCACCTCATTTACCACTCTTGCACCAGTATTTGCAGCAGCCATTCACCTCTAAGTTGTGGCTTCAAAAATCAAAGTTCACGTATTGGAAGCTTTAATTAATCGGGAACGACATATGTGCACATCCTTCTTCTCGTTTCTTCCATGTGCAACATCATGCTCCAACAACGGTAATCCGAATTTGGTAACTTTGATAGGGTCTCTGTCACCACAACAACCAATCGGGCTGAACACACTGCGGTCTACCCGCATTCATTTCGAATATTCGTCAACAGTTGTTTGGAGAGAAAAGTTAGATATGAATGGTGGGAGTGCAGGAAATAGTTTGGTAATTCGAGAAATGAATGACGATTACGATCTCGGGTATACACGTGTCGTCTAGCTCATATGTGCATACGTATGAGGTAGAATTGAGATATTTTCGTAACAAGATGTTGTTCCGTTCTGTGATCAAAACATTGGAAGCAGCAGTGGGCAGTCAATGTTAAATGAAGATGAAAGCCTGACATCTGGAAAAGGTGGGGCCAAGTTTTTATGCTTTCAGACTAATCGTTCTCTGGAGCTGTTGCATTATGTTTTCTAGACTTTTTATCCCCAGCGTTATTGAAAGTCATTAATATGAACACAATGAACTTTGAAAGAGTCGATTGGCATATCAAAGAAGGAGAAAAAGCTTTGGCATATGCTTGTGAAATGAAATGTAATAATAAAAGACAAGGAGATTATCTAAATTCTGAAATGAGATTTGGTTCAAAAAGTAATGTAAGGTAGTTCACATCATTTGCTTCTTAGTGCAGAGCATTAAATATTTGTCAGAAAAACTTTTCGGATTCTTTAAAAAATTTTCTGTTTTTCTGATTGACAGGTAAACTCTCCACATTTATTATTCGGAAGGAAGGTCGAAGAGATTAGAAGTCCAACCGTTTATCCTGATCACCTAAAATTTAAAGACTAATAATTTCTTATTTTTACGTAACAACTCAACACTTGGTATCGATTTAGAACTGAGGTAGGTCTTTTCCAATGTTGTTGTTTCGTGTAGAGTGGGGAGAGTTTCAGAAACTTTCACAGTGTTTCTGAAAATCATCAAGAAGCGAAGTATATTGCCATAAATCTCATCTATTGAAAAAGTATTGAAGAACGGTTTATAAACGATCGTTTTAAATGGAACATTTCTCCTAGTAAACAAGAAAGTAAATTTCAATTGTTGGAAATTACATTTTCTGAATTCGATCAAAACAGTTTTTTAAATATTTCTAATTTTGACTATAAATAAGTTTAGGTTGCGAAAAAAAATCGTTAAAGAGATGAGAGGAAGAAAGGAGAGAATGTTGATGATCTTCCGGCGCCCTTAATGTAGAGTGTTCCGGATCAGTTCCGTTTGCTCTGTTCGGGATGCACCGAATTCTTTATGTACATTTGAGTGTGCACACTGGACAACAAGTAAAAAAACTTGAAATAACTTCTGTTTGCAAAATCATAACCCTCAAAAACGATCTCTCACTTTGTCCTCGAGACCACAACCTGTCCTATTATGTCAGATTTGACTTCCTGAATTTAAAACCGTCTGTCTTTTGATGGTTTTGATCAAAAACAATGATGAGATGGATTAAACTATTTCTAAATGTTAGTCATCATCCTATCATTCAATTTGTTTTACATGTAACTTTGAAATCAAATTTTTATAAAATTTATAATCTTTGTTCTTTTTCAAGTTCAGCATTTTCAAACTGTATTTGCAGAAATGTTTGGAATTTAGGGTCTTCGAAATTTTGCTGTTGAAATTTTATACAGTTAAGATTCATATTTGTTGTTGGAATGGAAAAGAAATGATAAATTGAGAAAGGAATTTTTCTTCCTCCTTTTTGAGTCTCCAAAGGACTTATCTTTATGCAATAGCTAGACAAAAAAAAAAGAAAAAAGAAAATACCCACGGAATAATCCTAAGAAAATAGCTATTGAATATGGAAGTAATTAACGAAACATTGAGAAAATGAAACAGTTACATTTATTTTGGAAAAGAAATAGTTAGATTCGTTTTCGAGTACTTTCCAGTTTGGTAATAGTAGCCACTGACCACCAATATGAAATACAAATTTTGAATTTCATTCATTCATGTAAATAAATACAAAATTATTTGTGAATAAAAAGTCAAGTGAGTAAATATCCACTGGTCTGTTGACCGTTCAGTGCTCTATTTTCAAATCTTCACAAACGGTGCCTAATTAATAAATATTTTGATGGTTATGTTTTCAACCTTAACAGTATCACCTTTTTGCCTTACCTGTGAAATGATCTCATATCACAAAAAACAAGCTTAAGTTTGCCGAAAAACCTGAGAAAATTTATGTGTTCGAACAATCAAAGTATGTGTATTACAAATTTGTATCATGAATATTCCCTTATTTAGATCATTTTTCCTATAAATAATTTATCACACAAAATTAAAATTAAATTTCCAACATATCAAATGATGAGTCATTTATCCAATTCCTGTAATACTGTGATAAAGGATTGCTGCTTGATAATTAAGCTACTTGTAATCTTTGATTTTTAGTGAGCAACTAGTCTGATAACCCAACTTATACATATTAATGGGTATATTGTAAAAGTATCTAATCTGATAACTGTGCTTATATCCAATGTTACATCTTTAGACTTCCATTAAACAATCCATTCCTTTGTCTGAGAAATAATTTTCTATGTATGAGTTTTATTAACCATATCCACTATATAAGGAGTTTCAAATCAGTTTTTCCTTCACGTTAGCATCATTCGTTAATAAACTGTTACCGTCATCAGTAAACCTCTATTAACCATTTTGCATACGTATCAGACAAAATAAACTTCAACCTCACTCTCTTTTAAACCAGGTAATATTTTTCACAACAAGGCCAAAGTAAGGCCAACCATATATAACATCCCAGGCCAAAGTAAAGTCATTCTGTTTGTTGAATTTCTGGAATCCTTTTTTAATATTTCTTACTATCTCTTCATCAGTTTCCAAAAAGCCATTTCTCCATTGCATGATGAGTAACACAGATGTGAAAAGCTTTTTCTGATAAGATCACTGCTACATGAATCTGCATCTTCTACATGAACCAAGCAAACATTCTCTTCGGGAATGTCGCATGCACATAAATAATTTGCGTTGACTCAGATTGAAAGTCAGGTGTGATATACTTTATATTTTACTGATTATGCAGACATATAGGAACTTTATCAAGGCCATGAATTGACTGGTCCTTTAAGCAGATCTTATTTTGCAGGACAAAGAAGCGAGCGAAATTAATTTACGGAAATCGGGAACTTCATTAAAGTACTTTCAAGAGTAATAGTTAATGAAATCACTTTTATACTGACAAAATTTGTTGGAACAGAACTGCATTCAGCACTTATACAAATATATGACAAAGTTGAAATTAAAATTGGAATCGCGGAAAAACGGTATTTTTTCACTCCTTTGGCATGGTGCTCATCTCCTCAACGGACTTTTCTTTATCTCTGTTTCCCTCTTACTTTCATTTAAACAACATTGATGGAAAGCAAAAACATCTTTAATTTGAAGGAAAGTTCTATGAGAAAATAGATCCGAATAAATTCATTAACATTAATAAGAGATCAAAAATCATTAGGCATTGATGATAATCTTTGCGGTGATAAACTTTCACCGACCTTTGGGACATATTCAACAGCAAAAATAAGCAATGACAAGCCAGGTGCTAAGATAATGCAATTCAACCAAGGATTCAACGATAAAGGAAGGGGAGAGAGAGGGAGGGTGGAAATAAATGGAATTGCCGAGGGGATAGATTTCTTTACAGAGTTCTTGCATTAATCGTTAAACGGAAACCTTAACAAAATTTCAACGAAAAAAAAATTGTCATAACTTTATCACAAATGCGTTACATATTTTCAGCCATATTCCACTTCGACATGATTAGAATGATACCGAAATTAAGGAACTTATTCAAAGTCTCTAACTGATTCAGAAGGCAACCCTTTACAGATCATTAAGTGTGCTGCTTCACCGTCCTACTAAATCAGTTATCATTATGGATTGTTAGCCAAGTTGAATATGTTATTATTTTTGAGCCAGATTTATGACAAATTATCTCATAGAAGGAAAATTCGAACGTCTACATGCAACAGTATGGACATGAATGATTTAATTGTTATTGAAGACGACATTTTCCTGTCAGTCATAATTTCTTAAGTTTTTTGAAATCAGATCAATTCCTTTAATATTCTTAAAAAAAAAGATGACTTGAAATGGTTTTCAATCTTGCAAGCAATACTTTTTTTATCAGTGTTAGCAGTCTTAGAAAAACGTCACTTCCGGGAACTTTTAGCAAAAGTTTGTAAAGAAATTTATGTCAGTTTTTTGGAGAAATATAGATATAAATGTTTCTTAAACATTCTAAGGAAATGAAGGCACACTTGGTGTGAGAGAATTTTATTAAAGGACAGAAAACTTTAAAAATCTTCACAAAAAATCATTTCTTAATCATTTCTTTATTGGACAATATTGTACAACGAAGAAATAGCTATTAACAAAAGTTTGGATGAGCTTCTAAAGGGCTGTGAAAAAGGTTGACCAATAGATCCCTTTTCAAATACTAATTTAATTTTACAAAATAAAAACTCAAATAAGTATTACTGAGCCTTGACAGACTGCTGAACTTGATATGATAAGGATATTGGAAGGAAAGAAATT